GTGAGCAGACTCTCAAGGTTGTACTTTGCCGGATCAAAAGCAAAGTAAAGAGCCACCTCGTCGAACCGCTCCTGCATCAGCTTGAACATATTCTCCACTTTGTCTATCTCCAGCTTGGCCTCCTCAAGGAAGGACTGCATAACGCTGGGGAAGGCGTCATCCTCGCCCTGGCTCTGGTAAGTACGCAAATCAGTCTCCAAATTGGATGCCGACTTCTTCATCTCGGCTATAAGCATCTTTGCAGTGTCCTCCGAGAACCGCGACGCCTTATCTATGTAAGACAGGTCAGTAAGCAGGCCTTGCACCGTGTCCGGGAATTTGGCCTCTATGGCACGCAGAACGAAGTGCATTAGGGTGGACTTGCCGTAAATGTCCTTCGTACCACTCAGTTTAGGAAGGAAGGATATTTGAAAGCCGACAGACTGGGCGTTCCGCGAACCGGAGTTGAGGTAGTTGCCCAAAAGCAGGACCATCTCGATGACACGCATCAGGTGCTTGCTTGTGTTCAGCTCTTTCAACGCCTCCGTGACAGCCACAATGCCCGGTTTTATATCGGCAATTTTTTCGGTAAAACGCAGTTTAAACAGGATCGATTGGAGCCGCGGAACTAACTTCTTAATGGTGCCAACTTGACAACAAAACTGTTCAGGTTCAGCAAGGTCGTCATACTCGTTTGAGACGGCAACAATTTGGTTCATAACGCCCGGCTCTGGAAGCGCCTTCAACAACTGTTCAATCATGTTGGGGTTCAGAAGGTCCTCACGAACACCCATTATCCTTGAACGCAGATCCGCGTACGGCACCTTTAGAGAGCCCAGCAGGATAGACAAGCTTTGGGCGCATTTGGGGTCTAGGAAGCGTACCAGTTTAGCTTTCCTGGCTAGGCTTCGTTCAATGGTCTTGGCTGAGTCTTCATTTTCACCATCGCCAGAGTCAAGAGGAGATGCTTTTTTAGGCGGCTTCGTGTTAAAGTTTTCGGTAAGAGAACTGAGTAAACTAT